AGGGTTTTCTGCTGGGGGAAGAGCATCAGGGCAGGGATAGAGCTGGTTTATTCTGGGGAGCGCAATGAGAAGCTTGAGGCTGTTCCCAAAGAATCCCCACCTCGAATTAAAGCTCAGCTGGGCTTGTGCAGAGCATGAGCCTTTTCCTGCAGCGAGGTGATGCCCTCGGCTTGCTTGGAGTTATCCCAGCTTCCAGGAAAAGCGTGGTGGTGAAGCAAAGGGCTGCAGGGATGTGGTTCTCCCTGGGGTTTCTCCCTGGGGTGGGTGAAAGCAACCCTGTGCCTCCCTCAGCCCGCGGCATCGCCGGTCCGGGGGCTGCCGTCCCCTGCTCCTTGTGCCCGTGTCCCAACCCTCCTGCTTGCAGCCGGATCTCGCCCGTTCACGTGCATCCCACCGGCTGTAGCCGTGTCCTCGCTGTGACCCCCCCGGCTGGTAAATCCTTGTTGTTCATCGCCGTTGGGTGTGTGTTCTGCAGGCGTACAGCGCTGCCGTGCAGAGCCAGTGGCAGTGGATCAAGCAGCTCTGCCTCTGCGTGGAACAGCACGTGAAGGAGAACACCGCCTACTTCCAGGTACTCGCGAGGGACAGACGACATTTCCCTGCTCGCCATCCGCTGCATCCTGCTGCACGAGCTTCGTACGCTGCTGCTCCCTTGGCGGGGAGGGAGGGAGGATTTGTGGAGCTCCTGGGGGCTGCTTTCTCCTGGATCAGCTCTTTCTCCTTACCTCCTCTGCGGGGATGTCTCGCTGGGGCAAAAGGGATCAACTTCCACGTAGCTCTGGCCATGCCTGCGGGATGCTGGCTGCCTGGGCAGCCCCAAGGCCAGGATAGCATCGGGGCTGGTCCCTCGCCCGCAGCGTGCTGCTGGCCGCTCGGTGGCCTCGGGCAGGTTTCCGTGACCCTTTTTACCTTTGCAGTTCTTCAGCGATGCTTGCGAGTCAGAGACCTACCTGCGCAACCTGCAGGACTCCATCAAAAGGAAGTATTCTTGCGACCGTAACACGAGCCTGACGCGGCTGGAGGACCTGCTGCAGGACTCCATGGTGGGTTCTCCAGCATCCCCCCACCCTGGGCAGGCGATGGGTGACCTCGCTCCGCTCCAGCAGCGCTGCTCGGGGCACCTCTAGCTTTCCGGGGAGAACTGGGAGCATTGTATCCCCGTGGTGGCACAGTCTCACCTAACGTGGTTTGTTTCCCCTCTCGGTCGATGTTCTGCTTTTGGGTGGAGCTGCTGCACGTGTTTGTGCGTGGCCATGGGGCACAGGCTGGGGGTGTATCGCTGCCGGGGGGAGACAGATTTTGGTCGTTACGACAGCCAATGGGTCACTTTTATGTAGAGGCACCATCCGGAGTTTTTCTGCATCCTCGGGGTGCAGAGCAAGCGGCGTGTGCTGCCTGTGCAAGCTCATAGCTCGATGTGTGGAAAAATAAAACATCTGAGCTGGTTCTTCCCCGTTGGTGCCCATCGCCCCATCCCGGTCCACGGCAGCGTGGAGCCGGTTGGGTTCTGCTGACGGAGGCGTCGCGTGGAGCCCATAGGATGATCCTGATTCTGCTCTGGAGCTGGTGCTCAGCACGGTGGGATGCGGAGAAATGCCGGCGCTTTATCCAGCCCAAATCCGGCGTTAATCCGTCGCGCTGTGCCGGTGGGGGGAGAGCCGGGGCAGCCCGGCTGTGCGCGGGGAGGGGGCTCAGCGCTGATCTCCCAGCACGTGGGCTGGCTTAGCTGCGGCGTGGCGGAGAGCAGATGATGGGCGATCCTGCTGGGAGCTTCCTGGAAAAAACCCAACCTAAACCCCAAACCCAAGGAGCAGAGCATCGGACGGTGTTTGAAAGCAGGGTTGGGGGAGGATTTGGGCTGGGGGTTAACCACTGAGCTGCTGTGGAAGTGCCAGGAGGTGACATTTGAGGGCGTGGAGGCAGGCGGCTGCTTTGGGTTCGCTCCTAGTAGTGTCCCCAGTGAAGCTGGGATGCTGTTACTGGATGTTGGCGATGGGTGCATCAGCTGGGTGAGGGCTCACCGTCTTCTCTCCCAGTCTCCTGGGGACTCCCATCCTCTCTGTCCTGGTCTGTCCCCCAGTGCTACCAGGGAGCAGCCAGCCTGGCTCCAGGGGTCTGTCCTGATGAGCCCCATGGCTCCGGGAGCCCGGCGGGCGCCGTCCGGGGTGGGAGAGGCTCGTCCGGGCAGCTGGAGCGTGGCCACGATCTTAGCAGCTGCCCTGGGCTTAGCTATATTACTCTTTCTTACCTAATAAGTTAAAGTTGTATTTCTTCCAATCATGCTCCCTGGGACAGGCACAGGTAGTTTATTTAATCATTTATTCTTTTCTTTTTCTTTTTTTTTTTTTACCATTAAATTATCCTTCACCATTGTCAGCTCACTAACTGACCCTGAGAGTACCAAGCATGAGGGAGAACATTTTCCTGGGATCCTTTTGAAACTTTTGCAGCCAGAACAGGCTGAGCTGCCACTAATTACACGAGCTGCCAGTGTCGTGATCCGCACACGTCTCCATCTGTGCCAGAGGCTGTTCCAGGGGGGCTTGGCCACCAGTCCCCAGGGTTGTCCCAGCCCCAGAGACCTGTGCGATCACTCCACCACTAGCCCCTTCTCCCGAGATGTTTTACCCACGTAATTCGTCGCATCCCCATCCCAGCCGTTGGTTTGACCATAACCTTTAGAAGAGGGAGCATGCTGCTGGGGTCTCTCCTCCAGATATCTGAATGTCCCCAGCTTTTGGGCTGGAGCTTGTCCTGCTCTTGGCCCCTTACACCTCCTGGAACGTTAATTTTGGTGTGTGCTGCGTTCTCCTTTTTTTTCCCTTTTGTCAGACAATGTTTTCTGGTCCCAGCAGTGAAAGACCAGAGGCGTGCATGCGGCTCCGGCGGGGCGCTGGGGGGATTGAGGCGAATTCAAAAAAGGGCAATAGCGGCGAGGTCCCCCCCCTGCCGTGCCATTGGTTCTCCCTTCCATCCCACCTCTCCTGACCCTTCTTCCCATCCCGTTAGGGCAGCAGGATTCTCCCAACGTGTTTGTTCAAACCCTTGAGATCCCAGCGTAGCTCTTGCAGGCCAGCGTTGGGGTGGGGGGTGCCGAAATGCCCGGGAGAGCCCCCCTCTCCCCTGCCTCCAGCAACCCGTCCCTTTGTCCTTCCTCCTGCAGGACGAGAAGGAGCAGCTCATCCAGTCCAAGAGCTCCGTCGCCAGCCTGGTGGGACGCTCCAAAACCATCGTCCAGCTCCGACCCAGGAACCCGGAGCACCTGGTGAAGAGCACGATCCCCATCAAGGCGGTTTGCGACTATCGCCAGATCGAGGTGAGGGCTGGGGGGCGGTCGGTGTGACTTTGGGAGGGACGCTAGGGACGAGGCAAGGGAGTGACACCCGCGATGGCTGAGGATGCCACCACCACGCTCCGTGGGGTCTGGCAGTGGAAAGCGGGAACGGAGTGAGAAGACAGAAGGAAGAAAATAGCACGGATGTTTTTCCTGGAGCAGATTTCTGTGTCTCAGGTTTATTCTGGGCAGGAGCTGAAGCACTTTTCCCTCCCCCAGCCTCAGCCAAATAAACTCGTGGGTGTTAGCCACCGCCGTTCAGCTTCCTCGTCCCCTCCTCTCCAGGCACGAGCGTGCTGCTCTGCCTGGCACCATCCCAGGCTTTTGCTTGGTTAAAACATACAGATGTTATATACGGAGGGGAGCCGGCAGCGAGGGCAGGGGGTGCAGCCCCACTGCTGGGTTCTGACGCTCCGGGTGGTTGTTGCCGTCACAGATCACAATCTGCAGGAACGATGAGTGCGTGCTGGAGGACAATTCCCAACGGACCAAGTGGAAGGTGATCAGCCCCACGGGGAACGAGGCCATGGTGCCTTCTGTCTGCTTCCTCATCCCCCCGCCCAACAAAGAGGCCATCGAGGTGGCCAGCAGGTGACTTCTGGGGGGGTCCCAGAGGTGCAGGGAGATGGGGAGGGGGTTGGTGGCATGGGAGGGGACAGATCTGGGGTGGGAATGGGAGAGGAGCTGGGGGGGAGGAGGAGGAGCTGGGGGGGAGGAAGAGGAGAGGGTGGCACAGCTGGTTTGGGGTGAGGGGAGGAATCCCTCGTGGTTGTACAGCTGCAAACTCAAATCACAGCAACTTGCAAAGAAAACCCCAGAGATTTGGGAGGAGGGATCCCTGGAGGGATCTCTGGCACGGAGCAGCAGGAGCATCGCTCGCTGTGCGTGGCCAGGCTGGGCCCGCTGCCTCGATGGGTGCTGGGATGGCTGGTGGCTTCATAGGGTGGGGACTGGGCGTGCTGGGAGCTCTGGGGCTGATAAATCTGCTCCTTCCCCTCGCAGGGTGGAGCAGCTGTACCAGAAGGTGATGGCTCTGTGGCACCAGCTGCACATGAACACCAAGAGCCTCATCTCCTGGAACTACCTGCGGAAGGACATCGCCCTGGTGCAAAGCTTCAGCATGGAGAAGGTACGGCAGGGACGGCTCTGCCCAGCTCCGCAGCTGCGTCCCTCGCTGTCCGGCTCCTCCGTGGGGCCAAGGAGGACGGGAGGGGTTCAAGGGAAGAGCAGAGACTGCGATGGTGGGGAAATCGAGGGTCTTTGCAGCTTGAACAGAGGGAAAACCTGAGCCTGGGGGTTCTGTGCGGTGGGATTGCAGGTTTGCCCTATAAATGAGCATCAGCAGTTTGAACTGTGATAAGCACAAGGGGTTGTGGAGTCAGGGTTTCATCAGGGAGTGAGGGAGGTGTGAGGCTGACCCCGAGCAGCGTTCCTTTTCTCCTCGAAAGGGAAAACACTCACTTGGCAGATGAAGGTGATTAAGCCGGGGAGGGTGACTTGGGTGCTGTGCAGGAAGTCGTTCCCGTGGTTCCATCTGCGGCTTTTCCCCGCGCAGCTCCGCTCCCTGGCGCAAGGGGAGTGCCAGCAAGCCCTGAAGAACCTCCAGGCGCACTACGAGGATTTCCTGCAGGACAGCCGCGACTCCGAGCTCTTCTCCGTGTCCGACCGCCTGCGCCTGGAGGAGGACGTGGAGGCTTCCAAGGAACACATCCGGCAGCTGCTGGAGTCCATGGAGAACGGTGAGCTTCAAAGGGCTGATGGATTAACCAGGAGCTGGGGGGACTCATAAACAAAGGATTTATGGGATGGCTTCATTTTCTTTTTTTTTTTTTTTTTTCCTGAGCTAGCTAGTTGATAGTGTGAGCAGCTGCTCTCCTTGTTTCTCCATCTGTTTGAGTGCCCAGCGATGTCCCTGCAGGAGGGCTCAGCTCTGCAGCTTCAGCTTAACCGCTGAGTCCTCTTGCCCTGATGTTGCTGAGATGGGTTCAATCGTTAGGATGCATGATGAGCAAGGAGTTCTGCCTGCATTTAATCTTTGAAAAAATATATGTGGCAGTGACACGTGTGACACGGCAGCACTGTGAGTCCCAGTAAGAGTGAGGACTCTGGGTTCATCGTGCGAGGTGCCCTGTGGCTGGGCTCGTTCTCAGCTGTGTTCGGATGAGATGATTTGATTAACTGATGTTCCATCTGAGCAGAGACCCCGGTGTCAGCACGGTGCTGCCCTTGGCTCCGGGGCTCACGGCAGGTCCCACTGGGGGCAGGGACCAGCCAGGTATCTTTTGCTGTGTTTTGAGCTTCTCTTTTTTTGTCTGTGACTTGCAGAAGACAAGGATGAGACCATAGCCAGGACATATCTCTCTGAGCTCAAGAACATCCGTCTGCGCCTGGAGGAGTGTGAGCAGAGGCTGGTGAGCCGAATCCAGTCCCAGAGCAGCACCCGAGCAGACGGTGACACTATCCAGGAGAACACCATCTGCATTGCGGAGCAGGAGGTCAGTCCTGCTGCTGTGAGGTGTGGAGGGGAGGGAGGTGGTGGCCACTGGTCTTCAGCATGTGCCAAAACCAGCTTCTCCCTTCTCCAGGGTGAGTGTGTGGATGGTGGGTGCATGACTGTGAAGTTCAAGAGGATCTCGCTGCACAGAAAGCAGCAGGAAACCTCTCTGGGTGGGCTCCCTGCTTCATTTCATGCTATCTCCTTTGCTAAGGGCAGTCTTGATTTTTCTCCGCCTGCCTGGGCTCTCCTTTCACGTTCTTCCCCTTCCTCCCGTAGCGCATGCAGGAGGATCTGCAGCGGCTGAAGTCAGACCTGCAGTTTGTTTCTGAGAGGTGCTACAGCTTCCTCAGCAAGGCGCCCGTGGGGTCCAGCACGCCTCACTTGCGTTTCGAACTGGACTTGATGGTGAACAAGATGGACCAGATGTATGGGCTGTCTTCCATCTACCTGGACAAGTGAGTCGGGACATGCCTCTGTTCCCAAATTCCTTTTTGTATCTGCCCAATTCTGCTGAAGACCTTTTTTTGACCCTCTAATACACCTCGCGCTGAGCTCCATCCCTCTGCGGCGCACGGTGCCAACACCCTTGTGCTCAAGAGGATCTCTGCTGCCAACTGTTGGATGTCATTGTGCCGCCTCTGATTTGCCAGGTTGAAGACGGTTGATATTATTATCCGGAACATGCAAGGAGCCGAGTCTCTGGTCAAAGGGTACGAGGTGAAGCTGAGCCGAGAGGAAGGCGTCCCCGCCGACCTGGGAGCCATCCAGGCGCAGAGAGCCGCCTTGCAGGTGGGTGCTCTTCAGTTCCCGGGTGGGCAGGCAGAAATCGGAAAAGGATTCGGTGTTCGTCAAGCAGGGTCCTTCCCTTTCTCTGCTGGATTTGCACTGCATGCCTTTTTTCTTGCCTTGGGATGATTTTGGGCTGCTTGTGTGATCCTGGATAGCTTTGGAAAGGAAAAGGCGCTGCTGTGGCTTGTACGCTCTCACACACGTGAGCTTCTTGGCAGCTCCGTGTCCTGTTGCTGCAGGATGGGCTGAACCAGTCTGGCTTGCTCCAAGCTGGGGACATGGTCCCCTCCATTTCCCACCTCCTGTAATCAGCCAGTTCTTTGCAGGTTGAGGAGAGAGGGAGGATAAACCCCTTCTCAGACTTCTCAGCTCTGGGCAGGAGCACATCTCTGATTTAAAGTGCCTTTCGCTTCCCGTGGCGTTGAACTGGAGTTTTCTCTTGCTGGTTTTGCAGCAGTGGCTCGGGGAAGTGAAGGACAAGGGCTCCATCTTCTCCACGTTGGAGCAGGAGATGGCAAAGGCGAAGGCGGTGGGAGAGCAGCTGTACCGGCTGAGGAAAGAGCCCAGCATCGACCTGGAGTGCTATCAGGAGAAGAGCAGCCAGCTGTGGGACCGCTGGCAGCGCGTCTGCGCCCAGGTTGAGACCCGGTGAGAAACCTCCTGCCTCCTTTCCCAGATCTCCTTCCATCCTCCAGCTGAGAGCTTGGGTCAGGCTTGTCAGCAGCGATGTTTTTCCAGATGAGATTCCTTCTGGCTATCCCGCTAGCCTACGGTGGCATTTCATCCTCCTCTTATATGTCCTGGTTCTTCTTTCAGCCACGTGGAGCTGGAGAGCATCCAGGAGGTGCTGAGCGATTACCGGCAGTGCCACAGCGCCCTGATCCAGTGGATCGAGGAGATCACGGTCCAGCAGGAGCTGATGAAGCCAGGGCAGGCGGAGGACAGCCGGGTGCTGTCGGAGCAGCTCAGCCAGCAGACGGTGAGACAGGAGCTCGATGGCATGGGCGCTGCAGTGGCCAGGTCCTTTGTTTCACTGAAATCTTATCACCTGTGAGCTTGAAAACATGAAATTGAAGAGGATAAAGACTGTTCCCAAAAGGGAGGAGGGATAGGGACTGAAATTCAGCTCGCCACCCACGGCAGCTGTCCTGACAACCATTTTTTCTTTGAATTTTGTTGAAGGCTTTGGCTGCAGAAATTGAGAAAAATCAAGCCAAACTGGACCAGTGTCAGAAATTCTCGCAGCAATACTCGGCTGCCGTCAAGGTACAGTTCCTGTGCCTCGATGAGGCTGGCTGGGCAGAAACGCCCCAGCGCAGTTTGCATCTCACATGCTCCATGTCTCTTCCCCCCGCTTGCGTTTGCAGGACTACGAGCTGCAGCTCATGACGTACCAGGCGTTTGTGGAGTCGCAGCAGAAGTCTCCCATGAAACGCCGGCGCATGCTCTCATCCTCGGATGCCATCACGCAGGAGGTAGGAGCGCGGCTGCCCGCCCGACCTTGCAAGGGAGAAATTTTGCAGGGGGGGAGGTTCGTCAATGCTGAGCAAACCACCAGGCAGCCTCTCTGAAATGAGCTCCCTGCTGCTGAACTCTCTTGTACAGTTTCCACCCTCGCTGTTTTTTCCACGAGCCAGAGAGGATGGGTAGGGCAGGTATGAAATACCTGGACTCCGGGGAACCCCTGGGTCAAATCCAGCAGGGTCAGCTCAGTCCTTCAGCCTTGCGAGGCAAATAACCAGAGCGCCACGCAGCATCCCTGTCTGTGGATCTTTGGGACCCGAGATCCCATCTGCTCCATGTGGATATCAAAGATCCCGCTTGCCCTCGGTGTGAGAGCTGAGCATCCTCCCAGTGTCTGTGACCAGCAGCTCCCCGTCGCATGCCATGCGTGGCCACAACCCTCCCCGGCAGACTCGCTGCCGTTCATTGCTGTCTGCGAGGTGCCCGGGGGGTTCCCAAGCGAGAGGTGGTGCGTCCGTGTCGTGTGGCTGATGCGCCCCGTGTCTCCCTCTCTCCCCTGGCAGTTCATGGATTTGCGGACTCGCTATACAGCCCTGGTGACGCTGACCACGCAGCACGTGAAGTACATCAGCGACGCGCTGCGGCGGGTGGAGGAGGGGGGGGGGGA